CAAATGTCTGAAAAAAATGGGACAGATGCATGACCATAACAACTCTGTCCCATTTTTTGAACAATGTCTATATTTCATCTGTCCTCCACCGCCTCATACATTCAGATACTGCAAGGACTGATAAAATGAACCTTACCGTAACTGATGTCATGAAGTTTGCTTTAAGTAGTAGAATGGGTTATATTCTAAATAGAAAAGTATTACCAACCTTGCTAACATGGTAATTGGTATCTTTTGCTTTTCAGATATCTTTGCTTTAGTACATTTTATTTTTTCTGGTGTTTTATGGTATCAACATGTTATAATGGATATGTTATACAATTATTGTTTAGATCTTTTGCTAAGCTTATGCATGTTTTTGATATACCTCAGATTTTCTGGTAATATTGCTTTTTTGCGAAATGAGGTTGACATCTAAAATATTTCACGATCAATTCCTATCAATTAATGCCTGAGTGCATAGGGCACGTTTTCAGTCAAGTCAAATATGAATTAAAGTACATGTCAGCTCATTGTTATTATTATTATTTTTATATGCTAATTAAAATTGGGTTAATATTCTATTGCTTTTTCATGGAATAAAAATAAAAATGGAGTTTGAATTCGGAACTTTTATTGTCACCTATTTCACTAAGCTTGTTGGGTTTGTTGTGGCGTGGTGGTGATCTTTATCAAGCATTTAACACAATGAATTTTCTATCATCCAGTTCTAGCACTTCATCAGTAGGGTCAAAAATCAAAGTTGCATCAGAAGAACGATCTTTTGAGAAAGATTTGCTAGAATTAGATTTTAGAGGTAATGTTAGTGAATGTATTGAATGCTTATGATTTTATATTCTGGATTTGGGCATATATTCTTGGCTTACTTACATTAGATCTAGATTGTTTGAAGTTGATGGTAGACTAGACTCAATTACGACTTTGATAATGAGCCGATTCATAAATATAGAATTCGTTCGAAAATTCAGAAAATTTAAAATAACTTTAGCAAATTCTTCGACTCGTTTGACATATTTTCGAGTTGCTTTGGTTGGTGAAGTTGGTTCAGAGAAAAATAATGTTCGTCGAGCTTATGTTCAATTAATGTCAAATCGGAATAATCAAATTAAAGCCGAGAAAGCAACGGTTTATGATTAACTAACTTTTAATAATAGTTAATATGTTTTGTAAAGATAAGAGAAATTGAAAGTTATTTTAAATTTTTTTCTTTCTGGAATTTTATGAACATAAAATGGTATCAATTTAAAGAGGAAAAGTACTAAAATGATAGAAATATGTACGAACAATGGAAATTTCATTTTAGTAAAAAAAAAAAAAAAAA